CCAGTTGAAAAGATTAAATTGTTCTATAGCATTACTTCAGGAGACCCACTTGAGTGATATGGAACACAAAAAACTTAGAAGGGAGTGGGTAGGGCAGGTTTTTAGCGCATCGTGCGGCGATGCAAAGAAAAGAGGAGTGACAATTTTATGTCATCGATCGCTCGGCCTCATTCCAGAGAAGGTATATGAAGATAAGAAGGGACGGCATGTCATGATTGTGGGTACAATTGGAGATACTAGGTTGACCATTCTAAACTTATACACACCAAACGAAGAAGACACAGGCTTCTTTAAAGAAATTTCAGCACTTTTAGCTTCAAAAGCAGAGGGGCTGGTTATAGTGGGTGGGGACTTCAACTGTGTGTTGAATCAGAGAATAGATAAAAGGCCATTTGTCCAGGGACCTAAGACTCAAAAATCTAAAACACTCTGTGGTATGAAAGAGGAGCTTGGGCTTGTAGATATTTGGCGCTTAAAGCACCCTAAAGACAGAGACTTTACTTTTTTCTCTAGGGTTCATGGGAGCTACTCTAGAATCGATTTTTTCTGTGTATCAAAACAAGATGCTTATAAAGTTACAGACTGTCTTATAGAACCTATAACGACATCAGATCATAGTCCAGTGATGATGTCAATAAATTTAGACTCAGAAAACGACTTAAACACTGGAGATTAAATGTCTCGCTTTTGAATGACCCTGACGTAATACAGGAAATTAATGGTTAGAATATATGGAACATAACGATAACGGAGAAGTGTCTACTTTATAGGATGCCGCAAAGGTCGTACTTAGGGGGAAAATAATAGCTCTCTCATCCAAACTGAAAAAAGAGCGAGATAAAGAACAAGCCAGGCTTGAAAAACTCTTACAAGAACTGGAGCAGGATCACAAAAAGACAAATAAGGAAAGCACCCTGAAGTTACTTAATCAATATAGAAAAAAGTTAAATGACCTGTTGACTTATAAGGCAGAAGGTGCATTACGATTCTTGAATCAGAGATATTATGAGTCAGGTAACAGAGCCAGCAGGCTTTTGGCATTTCAGTTACGCAAAGTCCAGGCAAACCGGACAGTTTCAAAAATAGTAAATCCTTCCTCAAAACAAATATCATCTCGCCCTAAAGATATAGCAGAAGCTTTTTCAGATTTTTACAAGGCGCTGTATGATTCTGTAGAGGTAAATAATAAAGAGGGGAATATTAATACTTTCTTGGATAAAATCCAACTGCCCAAATTGTCGGAGAGTGAATCAAAAACAATGAGAGACCCGATCACAGAGGAGGAAATAGGAGAAGTGATAAAAAATTTAAAAAATGGCAAGTCGCCGGGGGCAGATGGATTCCCTGGGGAATTTTATAAACGGTTTAGAGAGGAGGTCACACCCCTTCTGCAAAAGGTATTCAATTATGCTCTTAAGGAGAAAGATCCACCAAAAACATGGTCAGAAGCCATCATTTCTGTCATCCACAAAGAAGGGAAAGACCCAACAAAATGTGCCTCATATAGGCCGATAAGTCTACTGTGCACTGATGTAAAAATCCTTAGTACAATAATGGCTAAAAGGATTCAAAGATGCATTAACAAATTATAAAAGCTGATCAAACAGGATTTATACCTGGACGACATGGATTGAATAACATCAGGAGAACCTTGAATATAATCTCTGTAGCTAGACAGTCTGTTGGAACTTCGATGCTTCTCAGCCTGGATGCGGAGAAAGCGTTCGATCGCGTAGATTGGCTTTTTCTGGAACAAACACTTAAAAGATTGGGATTTCATATAGATTTTATTAATTGGATCAGAGTGCTGTATACTGGGCCCACTTCAAGAGTTAGGGTGAATGGACATACATCAGGGAGCTTTAATCTGAATAGAGGAACTAGACAGGGCTGTCCCCTTTCTCCTCTGTTATTTGCTATCAGTATAGAGCCTTTAGCTGAAATGATAAGGGAGAACCCTAAGATAATAGGAATATCAGATGGCGGAGGGACACACAAAAGTTCGCTGTATGCTGACGATGTTATTTTATATATTGATAACCCCCTGTGCTGTATCCCAGCCCTTTTAGATAGCTTACATGAATTCGGGGAAGTATCCGGTTACAAAATTAATGAAACTAAATCAGAAGCTATGATGCTTGTTGGCAAGTGGCTTTCTCAACTGGACAAAAACGTTACATTTAACTGGTCAGCACAAGGCTTTAGATACTTAGGCATAATGATTACTCCAGATACCTCAGAATGCTAATTATGGTAGACTGATTGCTCAGATAAGGTTAGACTTGGCTAGGTGGGAGATTCTCCCGCTCTCACTTATCGGAAGAATTGAAACAGTCAGAATGAATGTACTTCCTCGACTGTTGTACCTCTTCCAGTCTTTGCCTAAATGGATTTCAGGCTCTACCTTTAAAACATTAATAAAATGATTTCTACATTTATCTGGCAAAGGAAGAGACCTAGGATTCGACAGAAGTTGTTACATTACCCTAAAAATCAAGGAGGTATTAATTTACCGAATTTGAAATTATACTACTGGGAGGCACAACTTTGTGGGATGGTCGAATGGGTATACAAGACGAGGAGACAAAATGGCTTGAACTAGAAAAACATGCATGCCCACGGGTACCTCTTGAGACAATACCTTTCTTAGAACAAATGAAATGGAAGAAACTTAAGATAAAAAATGAATGGATGAATTGTACTCAAAAGGTCTGGTTTCAAGTTAGGAAAATGATAGGCGTGCCGTTAACAATATCTAGAGCGGTCAAAATCGCAAAAAATATAGACTTTTTGCCAAATAAATTAGATACAAGGTTCAACACTTGGGCAGAAAAAGGCCTTGTGACCATGAACCAGTTATTTGAAGGTGAAACCCTAAAGTCATTTAAGCAATTACAGGATAAATTTAGTTTGTCCCCCAAGGATTTTTATAGATATTTACAACTAAGGAACTATTTAATGTCACACAAAGAATGGAGCTCCCTTAAACAACTGCCCACACCAATAGAGGACTTCCTGATGAGGAACATGGAAGAAAAGAATAAGACGAAAATAGTTTCACATATGTACAGATATTTACAGGCACAATGCTCAGGAAATTCTGTTGATGTGAAAGAAAGGTGGGAGCTGGAGATGAATGTGGTCATTAAGGATAAAGAGTGGGAGGATGTGTGTGAAGTGGGGCATAAGATAACGAACAGTGGAGAAAATAACAGCAAAACTCCATCTGAAAATGGATTTGTTTGTGGTTCTATTGGCTCCTGTCATTGCTTACCTTAATTTACCGATAGAGTAAGAGACCAGTTTACTTAATCTCAATTTATTTAAAAGAAAACATTATGTGTATTTCGTTTGGTTTATTTTGGACTTGTCAATAGACATATTCATAGAGATGTTTGTGAAAGGTTAACAATTGCTTGTGTGTGTCTGGAAAGATATATCTGATGCCTGCTTTGAAGAAGCATTTTTTTCTCTCTACTTGTCAAGAGTCTCCTCTTTGTGCGATGAATATGTTGCCATGAGTTTTATTTGTGTTTTATTTTATTTTTTTATATGTTTGCCAAACTGTAAATAATTCTTGTAAAATTATTACCATGTTTCACTAACTGAGATATGTAAATGTAAATGTGTAAAATATTGAATACAATAACTGTTTGAATAAAGAATGTTCAAAGTTGCATATAATGACTCCCTGAGAATACTGTTTAAAGGCTTTATATGAGATTTTTTGATCCAGCAGATGTCGCCCTTGAGCACCAGCATGAAACCAAAACAACTCGCGCTGCATTGTTGTGTTAGCATGCTAATGCTAGCGATCTTTATTATGCTGGTATCTTCACACTGCATGTAAATTTACCTGAAATGAGCGTGATGTAGAAACACAGTTAAGCAGTGAGTACAGTATGTTATTCTTCTTTTCTCTAGTCCCTCAATTAAACAACTTTTATACACGAGGGGAGGAGTCAGCCGGCCGTCCCGGCGATGTAAACAAAGTGAAGATAGGACTCTGAAAACTCTGAAAACATCACAGACAGTGGGACTCGGGTGTTACACCCATTGTAGACAGTCATGACTCACAGAGTTATTTTCAGAGGCGATACTTGATTTCTACATTTAAGTGTGAAAAATCACATAGAAAGACTTTAAAAAACCTCGATGGACTAGTGCGAGTGAGTTATTTTGTAATGCAGGAGTAAACACTTTTCAGGCTCTTATGAGAAACTTAATGTACAAATTTATCTCCGATTGAAGGATTCTCAGAATTCCATCATTATGCTGTTGACAAATCCCAGTCATAGTTCTGTGCGATACCAGTCATCCTTGTGGCGACAGTGGTACAGTTGTCTTTTATAATATTGGTGTTTTTTTGTGTGTGTTTTGACCCTGTGTTTTTATTTTTTGCTTGTTTTGTATATGTTTTTTAATGGACTCCTGAGTCTGGCAATAAAGATGATGATGTACATGATGAATACTCGTATCCCGGTTTTATGATTACAACATTTAGCAAAGTTACAGTGGCAAGAAAAAAACGTCTTTTAAGAGAGAAATCTTGGCAAAAAATGATGAACAGCCACCTGCAGACACTGCGCTGAGCTTGAAAATTGGGATAGAGAAAGATGCAGGAAGACGGAAAGGGTCAAACAGCGGTGTGGGGGGGGGTGTTCATAGCAGCAGGACGTCCCCACCAACAATCAACGATTACTGCATCCTATTCGTTCAGGTGCCTGACTTTCTCCAACATGCGCATCCTGTAGCGTCCACTTATTTATCACCTCTTGCTAACAGAGAAAATGTGTTTCCATGGTTTTCACTAGAATCAACAATCAGATGATTGGCTGACATGGACTGTGAGATACTCAGGGCTTCAGATGATTCACTTCTCAAGAGAAAATGAGGAGAGGGGTTTGGATTCTCTGACTAAGTCGAGCCTTTTCAAGAAGTGAATGTTAGCCTTTTTTATTCCATTTGTAACCCTTTCTGTATCTTTTTCCCCTTTTCAGACACTGAAAGATCCCAATCTCTCTGCCAGGAAGGATTTCCAGAGGGAGGCCGAGCTGCTGACCAATCTGCAGCACGACCACATCGTTAAATTCTACGGAGTGTGCGTAGACGGAGACCCTCTCATCATGGTCTTTGAATACATGAAGCATGGAGACCTCAACAAATTCCTCAGGTCAGTTCTTTTCGACGGAGGTTAAGTCGATTGAACCTTAATTTACCGGGCTGGTGCTGGAAGAGCCAATTAGAGATTCTTCATGTGAACAGACAGCAGCAAGCTAAAGTGTGTGTGTGTACCAGGAGGGAGGAGCATTTTCATTGAGGTCACTGGTTGGACTTCTAAAATTAAAGTGTCAGCTAATGTAATGACAGTGTGTAAAGACAAACACTTTAATAAGAGATGAAATGTTCCTTTGTGTGATTCCTCCAACTTCACAGTTTCTAGGTTAGCAAACATGAGAGCTACCGTGCTTTTGTTCCGTAATGTCAGAGCGTCCCGAGGGAAGTGACCCCTGATAAGCCTCAACAAAAGCGACAAGACGCCGGTACAGAGAGCGCTTTGGTAATGGGAAGAGTCACTGTGGTGGATGTCAACGTGCGCAGGAGGAGTCTGTGATAGAAGTGTGTGTGTGTGTGTGTGTGTGTGTGTGTGTGTGTGTGTGTGTGTGTGTGTGTGTGTGTGTGTGTGTGTGTGTGTGTGTGTGAGAGGTCTTTCTTGTGTGTGAAATTTGAGAAAGAGTTGAAAAGATGGCATGTGATGATTGTGTGTGTGTGTGTGTGTGTGTGTGTGTGTGTGTGTGTGTGTGGAGTCAAGAGTGCGTGAAGACTTTCTGTTGGGAAATCGTTCCTGAAATGAAAGGCAATGTCGCGAATGATGAAATTCTTTCATGCAAGGTGCAAGACAAGGCTGAGCGTTGGTCTATCGGTCCTGTTGGTCACATTTAACAAATGAGATGTGCGGGGAATCATAAGAATGAACACAGTATCTGATGAGCGAGTCCAGTTCAACCTTCAGATAAACGTCGGGTTTATGTGCACTTATTCAGTCACTACGAGGCGTCTGTGAAGTCGAACAAAGGTGGAGAGACAAAAGATGAAAATCAGAGCAGCGCTGTGCAGAACAGACGAATCATAACTCGCGCTTCTATTGAGTACAATCAAATCGAGCAACTGGAAAGAAAACACAGAGAACTTGTTGTTATTGTGATAATCGTAGTTTAAAGTTTGAGGTTGGATTTAAATTGTTGCACAAAAAAAAGTGCACGCAATGAATTCTTACATTTCACCACGTTGACTTAAACGTCATAAATTGGTGGTCGCTTCAGTCATAACCACTTCTCTTGACCGCTTCCATCACTGCAACACCTGTTGACCTGATAACTGCTCTCATATCTGACAAACAGAGGGGCGTCCAAAACGGCCGTGTGGGGGTGTTTTAAAAGCGCCTACCTTCTCTGGTCCAAACAAATCCAGAGCATTCAGGAGCAGAATCTAAAGTTAGAAGGAGGACATACTGGCTGCTGCATTGTTGTCAGAGAAGCCAGCACTTCAACATAGCATGTTTCCTTAATGATCAGATAGTAAGATACCTTTATCATTCTTACTGTTTGCTCCTTCAATGTGGGCCTGAATAAAAGTGCAGAAAATGTTTATCAGTGACTTGTCAGCTAAATGAACGTCAGGTTGAACCCAAGACAAAGCAGATGTTATATTTTCTAACAATCAACACTACCTGAGACGCCACGTCTTCTCAATCAAACCTGAAATTGAAGCAGGTTTATAATTGATCTGCTTCAAGCTCGCTCCTTTAAAGCCCAGTGAAACCACTATGAAGGTTTGACTACCATCAGTGTGGAATCCAATGATGTTGAATTAAAGTGGATAAATGAAATCCCCCCCCCCCGCTCTAATTAGTTAAAGCTGAGGCAATGTCCGAGTGAAGATGGAAATCAAGTGCAGAAAGTTGACATCATGCAACCAAAAGCCATGAACTCTAATAGCAGCTGCAGAAGATTTAAAATTACAGTTCATTTGTTTGCAAAATAAATCTTCTTCCAGCTAAACGTAAATCTTCCGTAAACGTAACATTTTCTCTTTATTCCGCTCATTACTCTCGATGGGCAGCACCGAGGTAGCAGCACTTCCAGGAGAAGAGTTTCAAAGTGCTGTGAGGAGCTCTGGGTCAGTTAATGAAGAGGCAGTGAAGTTACCATCTACAAGTAACTATAAAGAGATGAATTTAGACTAAAGTCCTCTTCTGAATGAGCTTTAATTCATAAGAGCGGCGCCGTACTTGATGTGTCGCCGCTCTCGTCTTCAGCAAGTAGAAAGATGAACGCTCCTCCATGACTGATTTAAACAAGTCGGTTCGATGACTTTTTCACTCTTTCACGGTTGTATAGAGCGCCACAGGAATGAGTCCTATAAAACAGGAAGTAACATTTGAGTGTCTATCCTCTCAAAGTCAACGGGGATTTTGAATGTGTTTGTGGTTAGACTCCTGAAATAAGGTCTGTGGTTAACACAAGCTGAAGAGATGTTGGTGTTTTGTTAGAGCACATAAACTACGTTAGGTAATACCTCCACTTGTGAAGTTTGAAGTTTTTACTCGTCTTTAAAAAGGCGGTTGCTAACAAGCGGCTAAATGTGACTACAGTGGTTGTCGGGGACATTAAAGGTCATCACGCCGGACACAGAGGGCGGGAACTCTCTCACTAGTCGGAGATGTCTCCTGTAGGTTTAATCTTTAGGTTCAGGTGAATATTATGTTCGTAAACTATTTATTAAGCTACGTGGATTAGTTTATCGGAGATCGTCTGAAGCATAACGCTAGTGATGTCACAATCATCCCACCGTGGTGTAGTTAGCTTGTAGCATAACGTTAGCTTTTCACTTCTGTCGGCCGCATTAACGCTTCAAACATCATAAAAATGGCGTTCATCTGTGAAGATTATCCTGCTGAACAAAACGCCTACGCTTCAGAAACGTGTGTTTACCACAGAGATTATTTATTAATGATCCAAAACCCAATGAAAACATCCCAGAGGAGGATTCTCATTAGACCCCATGGAGATGCTACTTCCTGGTTGGCCTTCAAAAACACTTCATTTGATTTGTTCTCTATTACTGTCAATAAATCATGGTGTTAATTTCTGTTGATGTTTTTTTGTCATCCAGAGCCCACGGCCCTGATGCCATGATCCTGGTCGACGGCCAGCCTCTGCAGTCCAACGGCGAGCTGGGCCTTTCCCAGATGCTGCACATCGCCAGCCAGATAGCCTCGGGCATGGTCTACCTGGCCTCACAGCACTTTGTCCACAGAGATCTGGCAACCCGCAACTGCCTGGTGGGCAACGGTCTGCTCGTCAAGATTGGAGACTTCGGCATGTCCAGGGATATCTACAGCAGTGACTACTACAGGGTGAGTCTTCACCTCCATGCACGTGTGTGCCCGCCGTTTGTCAGGAACGCCGGCTGCTGCACAGGTTTCAGAGTTCTCTATTCATCGTGTCTGATATTTGTTGACATTTCACTGCAGCTCGACTGATCAGCAACTACAGACGGGTGATGGGAATTAGAAAAAGAGGGCCAGAGGTCATATTTTGACTCTTAACTCTTAATTTTGACTCTTAACTCTTTGCTAATTTAGCTGGGACTCTTTACATATCACAAATTTTGTCATATAACGCAAAGCAAAGCAAAGTAAAATGCAGGATAAGATCTTTATTTATGTCTTGTTGTTCTCTCCTATAGACCAAAATGCGCTCTGTTTAAGATCAAACGAGACTTCAGTCTTTTGTCTCAAAGACAATTCTGAAACCTAAAACTGGTTTTTAAATATTGTAATTAAGAATCTTTGAATTTTGGAAAGTCCATCCCAAAATAATTTGATTTTGTTACCTTAAGCTTTGTAGAAAACCTTGAACCTTTCAGTGATCCTCCATTAAGCATCTGTAGTGATCTTCTGACTTAACTTAAGTTTGGAGCCTGTAGCGTCATGGTTAGCACATTACTCCTAAATCTGATGATTCCAGGTTCAAAGCTCGGCCGGAACCAAGCGACAACCTCCAGTCTTAAAGAATGAAGTTGATGCTAAAGTGTAGCTTACATGAACAGGACGGCCGGCTCCTCCCCTTGTGTATAAAAGCTGTTTTAGTCAAGAACTAGAGATGCTCAAGAATCTACTGGATCAAAAAGTCGCACATTCTTCCTTTAAAAACAACATTATGAGCGTTACATTATTATTAAAAGCATGTGAACCTTCAACTCTTAAAGAAAAATGGCTGCTGTATTAAAATGGTTAACGGTATGCTCGCCTTCAAGCTACATCAGAATATTTCTGTCAAAGAGAATCTGAGTTTCTGATATTTCAAAGATCCTTCAGCGGTAAATATTTCTCTTCCTGTAAATAATAAAATAGTTTTTTTGTAGCTCAACAATTAGTGGCTGAATCTGGACAAAAAAAGGCTAATTTGGTTGTTGTTGTTCACAAAATTTAGTCTTTTCTTATAATTGGGTCCAAACAGCCTTAAATAAATCCTCCTGGGCCGATAACTCCAAAGATTATTCTAAAAGGTGAAAAAACCGTAGCTTTCTCTTGGGTTATTTATTGTTCTTGTATTTATATTTATGTTGTTGTTTCCATCTTTTTGTGTCTATGGAGAGTTGAGCTGTGCAGCCCCCCCCCCACACACACACACACACACACACACAGCAGCCCTCATACATTCTTATGAGGATGCAGAGGTTTAGCATTGTGGATGGAGCTGAGCCCGCACAGCCTCCAGCCCTGACGCTTCCAGGCTTGTTTATCCAGCCTCTCATTCATGTCTTCTTCTCTGTTTAACACGATTAGCAACACTGAATGCTGCAAACGAGGCGGCCACCGCTGGCCTGAAGAATTCTGCTTCTCTGTTGCATAAATAAATGCACATTACGAAGTGATGGCGGCTAAATATCTGGATCTCCTCACAGGCCTGGTGGTGCGATATATGACTTTAGGTGCACCTGATTGTGTTACTCGGCGTGGCAGCTGGGCCAGTTCTGACTTTGCTGGGGGCAGCGCCAGCAGTCATGATGTGCTCGCCTGTTGGCTGCAGCAAGCTCTGCACACATGGAATCATTTGTAAGGAAATTTGAGCGAGATGTCTTTGGTGTTTGGAACATAGCTCGTCTTTGCACACCATCTGTGAGGGGCATATATTATTAAAATGTGAATATTTTGTTTGTGTTGTCAAAGAAATGTGCCAGGATTGTGTGTGTGTGTGTGTGTTTATATGTGTGTGTCGTTCACTGCCTGGTGTTGAGATGTTTGATTATGTGTCTGTAGAACCAACCTTCCTCACAGTTTTTGGCCCTCAGTGGATCGAGAAATGTCAGGTCGTAAATGAGGACATTTCAGGGAGAGCAGAAAATCGAAGACGCAGGACTTTATTAAAAATGGTTGTGCATAATTTCTGTGCAAAGATCTCGGATCACAGCAGAAGCAGCTTGTTTCCAGGGGGGTTGTAACCGCAGACACAACACTTAACAACAACATTAACATATGTACCATGAATATAAACTCCAGCATTGTCTTCGTCTAACAGCTGTTGTTGTTGTTGTTTCACATGTTTAAGCTGTTTGAAATAGAGAATATCAAAGACCTTCCTCGCACTCTGAGCTATACCGCTTCATGGTGTGTTAATTTTTCCAGCCACATTTCTCAGATGTAATATTCAGAGTTTACAGTGCATGGCTTCGGCACAAAGGGGTTTATAAATACCCTGCTTACACTCATTACAAGCTCTTTGTATGTTCAGACACTGGCGGCTTCATGGCGGCACGCTTTATGGTAACCATGGAGGATCTGAGGCCTTTTATCTTGCAAAATAGGCGGTGCAAATACTGCATCATCAAGAGTTCCTGTTCAAGCAAGAGGGATATAAATGCATTGGTCCACTGTGTGACATCCCTGTTTGTGAGTTTATAATTTCAAGGCTGCTTTTGATTGTATGTCTGCTCGTTGTAGCCTTAATAGAACTTTTGATTAGTAGTATTTGTATTTCAGATCAGTTCATTCTATTAAGGGTTTTGCACTTAAACGGGACAGACACCAAGACAATCAGGACCATTTGGGGTCAGATTCCCCCCTTACAACGACGTTAAGGAAATTCAAGTAGCAACAAATAAGTAACTTTTCTATGATAACTTTGTAGTTTCACTGTCGATGTAATAGAACAGAGAGAACTGCATCTCTCTCATGTCCACAGAGCGCCCCACTCGCCTGTTTTCAGCACTATGTAACTTTGGCAGCGGGCTGAGGTCATCTTGGTGAGAAGTGCGTGAGCGAGCAAGAAACTGGACTAGAGGAAATATTGGACCTTGTCAGACTACATGGCTCTTTGGCTTCTCATAACGTCTTTTGACCTGTGCGAGCTTAGCAAGCATTTTGTCTCGGTTTTGTCTCGGTCTCAGACGGGGCGTAATCCATGTTTTAAATCAAGACCGGTCAAGACCACCACTTATGGGCTTCTTTCTCACATCATTACTGTGATTAGATGGAAAACAAATCTTTCTAAAACAAGTCACTTCAAATCATTTGTAGTTTGGTTTGGCATAATAAAGATCGCTAGCATTAGCATGCTAACACAACAATGCACCACAAGTTGTTTTGGTTTCATGCTGGTGCTCAAGGGCGACATCTGCTGGATCAAAAAATCGCATATAAAGCCTTTAAATGTCTTGGTCTTGTCTCGGGCTTGGATCATTCTGGTCTCGGGTATGACTTGGTCTTGATTGGTGTGGTCTTGATTACAACACTAGCCTCTGAAGCGGACAGTCTGGGTTTTGGATCCCCAGCTGCTGCAGCCAGAAGTCGAAGTGTCCTTTGGCAAGGGACTGAACCCCGAATTGCTCCTGAGTGGCAGAGCCAGAAGTGTGTGAATACACGAGTGGATTAGTTAACACTGATGGGCACTTCATGAAGCAGCCTCTGCCAATGAGTGAATGTGACATGTAGTGTAAAAGCAGCGGTGAGGGACCCAGAAGACTAGAAAAAAAGTGCTATATGAGCCCATTTAGCGGTTACTGTGTGTGTCCTTGGCAGCTCCAACTAAATATCCTTGTAACAGTGAGAGCTCAGGTGGCCCCCACTGGACACATTCAGGCCCAAACTGTGTGTGTGTGTGTTTCTTCATTAGAGCCCAAAGAACAGTTCATATAATCGTCTCTGAAGACCAAGTCACAGCTGGTTTAGCAGGGAGGTACAGCTCGGCCCAAAGAGTAAATGGTGCGGCTGATTGTTCTTGTCTGAACAATTATAAGCCTAATTTATAGGAGTTAACTATTCAGCCAAAAGGACGGGCGGAGATAAGCTGCAAGTGGCTTCTCCTGATATAAGACCTAACAGGAAAAACAAGGAGCTGTTTGTGCCGGGGTCCGTAGATACAGTATATAAATAATGAAGTGTCAAGAGTGTGGGCTAAAAGCTTTCACCTAACACTGCAGGGGCCCGGCTTTAGCCCAGGACTGCGTGCCAAATATTCATAAGTGGAAAGCCAGTGAGGGATCATGTCCTTGACACTACAATGAAGACTCATGCTGGTTGGTCAGGATGTCTGTGCAAAACCTGGAGCCAAAAGGTGGTCCTCCAAGCACATTACACTCCTCACTGACAGGTGAAGAGAAGCAGCTGGTGCCTCGGCAAACAATGCAGCCAGAAGAGCAAAGGAGCACGTCGCCAGGGGGACTAGGAAGTTCAGAACTGGGGTGAAGGATGGGAAATGCAGGAAGATATAAATGGGTTTGAAGTACCTTCTTTTTTCTTATTAAAGGCACTGTATTTAAATTCCACCACCAGGGGGCTCTCTCTGTCAAAACAAAAAAACAAAAGATGACTTTGAGGCTTGCGGGGATTCACGGGAGTGATTCCTCTCTGCTACTCTCCCACCAACTCCTCCAAGTTGACCGTAGTCATGACGACCGGGTGAATTTCCCCCTCGGATTAATAAAGTATTTCTGATTCTGATTCTGAAACCGCCCTGAGGAAGAGAATCTGTTTACAGACGAGCTAATGTATCCGAGTATAATTTACATGACGTTTTTATCACAGCAGCTCATACAGCAACAGAAGGGCAGCTTTCAGGAGCAGCTCATGCTTCCTCACGCAGTGGACTTTGACTTAACATCCAGTGTTTCCACGGCAACGAGAAACATGTTGCATCCGTCATGGCGGTTGCCACAAGAAGACACATCTCATCACAACTATGGATGAAGGATTTCTCTGACTTTGATAACTGTTTTAAATATTTGAGGTAATGTAAGTACTCAACAAGAAATATATATGTCACAGGTGGAAACAAGGAAATGGACCCAATTGCAGTAAAGTCAAAAAATGATTTAATTAAACAAAAGATCAAAAGTCCAAAACAGGAAGCCACA